CTTCCTAGCCTTTTTCAGAATGGATTAATGGGATAACTACTGGATACACAACCTGGTTTTCAATTGTCAAAGATTTACAGCTTGAAGGGATTCTGAATCCAATCACTTGGAATTGTTAAGATGTGAGGTAACGGCCTCAGGTTGTACCAGAGGAGGTTCAGATTAGGTAACAGGAAAAATTTACTCTCTGAAAGAGTGGTGATGCAGTGGCACAGGCTTCCTAGGGAGGTGAAGAAGCCACTGTCCCTGGAGGTGTTTAAGAACCACGGAGATGTGGCACTGAAGGACATGGTCAGTGGGCATGGTGGGGTTGGGACAGGTTGGACTTGGGGATTTTGGAGGTCTTTTCCAACCTTAATGATGCTATGATTCTATGATTCTGTGAATTATGGGAACTACGGGTATAGAAACCCTGGAGGAGCTGAGAACACAAAGGCCTGAAACAGAATGAGAACACCTGCATGGCATCAGAAAGATGCCAACACCCCTTCAATGTACATACTGATCTGCTGAAGCCAACGCAAAGCTGCTCAAAAATAAGTGGAGCAAAAGAAAAGAATCCCTATGCTTTACTTTCTTTGCTGTGCGATCCTATGGACCATGATGACTCCAGGTAGCATTCAATCAAAGAAGAGGGTGGAGCTTTCATGAACAGAAGTAACTTAGTCAAGAAATCAGTCAACAAACAGCCTTGAAGAAGCAGGTCTTAAAATCATGACAGGGGCCGCTCATTGCCCCAAGGCCTAACCATGACTGATGGCAGAAAGATCTTAGGATGCATTGATTTCATACCAGTAAATCTTAGTATTTATTAACTCAAGAGCTAAATATTGACTAATGTCAAAAGGAAGCCAATATCTGCAATGAGAGATGGAAAATATATAGAAAGGAGGTGAACAGTCCAGTGGGCAGCTTGCTGGGAAACAAGTACATGCTTCTCAGGAGCAGCTAATACAGCCAGATAAAAACCTCTACAGTTCCACTGAGCAAGCAATCTGGGCTCCAAAACATCTGGAAAGTGAGCATGTGGTGTTGTAAAGATGCAGTTTTGATTTCCTACAGGACTCTCATAAGGATAGGAAACATTCCTACAGCTGTCGCATGTTGCCAGTGGGAACTGTTGGTCGTTGTTTGGTTCTATTGCAGGCAACGTTTTTGCTAATCTTTTGCAAGAACTAAACTCATCCACAAGTAATCATGCTGGCTGCTGCTGGGAGTGCTTCCTGTTGAGAAATAGCATCAAGCACATCCAAGTTTGGATAGCTTCCCAAATGATCTGCTCTATGTGTCTAACTACTGAGGTCATGAAGATGCTTAGAGGCTGGAACACCTCTGTAAGGAGTTGGGCTGGGAGCTGGGAGTATTCAGCCTGGAGAAGGGAAAGCTCTGGAGAGACTTTACAGTGGTCTTCTGGTGCTTAAAGGGACCACAGGAGAGCTATGGATGGACTATTTGCAGGGGTAGGACAAGGAAGAATTGTTCAAAATTAAAAGAGGGTAGGTTTAAATTAATGGTTAGAAATAATTTTTTTACCATGAGGTGGTGAGGCCCTGGCACGGGTCGCCTGGAAAAGGTGTGGGTGCCCCATCCCTGTCAGTGCACAAGGCCACGCTGGATGGGGCCTTGGGCATCTGATCTACGTGAGGTGTCCCTGGACATAGGAGGGGTTGGGACTGAGTGGGCTTTGAGGTTCCTTTCTACTCAAACCAGTCTGTGTTTCTACTATTCTATGATTCTATGATCTACCCCAGCCACAAAGGAAAAGGTTCATGAGCAGTCCCTCTCATAGCAAAAAGATCAGAGCTAGGAATTGCAGGGCACTCTTGCTTTCTCCAAGTTTGGTGCATGAGAAAACCTCTTTTCTGAGATTGCATAAGAGAAAGGGAAATGAGATTTCAGAGGGGGATTCAAATATCATGGGGCAAAACTCCAACATCAGCTCTTCTTACTAATTCATCTTACGTCATCTTTATTCATTCTTTAACTCCTTTCCTGGCATGTATCTACTGGAATTTATTCAGGAGAAAGTCAGAATTACTCAGATATCTCTCGTTTGGATTAAGATTTTCCTGGATTTTGTCACGTCTAATGAGGAATGATTTCATCAAACAGTGAGAAACAAGAAACCGAGCTGGTGTCTTCTGGGAACACGTGGTCAGAGTTAAGCTCAGCATGGCCCTGGTTGAACTGATTTAGGAATGATGCCTTATGATATCCAGACCTGAATCACAGAATGGCTTAGGTTGGAAGGGACCTTGAAGACCATCCAGTTCCAACCCCACTACCATGAGCTGGTTGCCACCCACCAGATCAGGCTGCACGGAGCCCCATCCAACCTGGCCTTGAATCACGGATGAACTGAAAGCATTTTGGTGGAACTGCCCTCATCTGCTTTACCAAAGCAAAGAAAGGGGTGGGTAATGCATGGACGGTGCCTAGGACACCAGGTGAGGTCCTACCAACATCTGGTGCAGCGTGACCTCAGGTAAATCCATTTCTTCTTTCATCCCACCCTAGTGTGGCAATCACCTTTCTGAGATAACTAGGGAAATTTGTCCCAACACAGCATGGTGGGCTTTGCTTGGGAAGGATCAGCTCTGGCACAACAGGTAAACTGGGAAAAAAACATTATTTTCTCTCAAGAAAATACGGCAAATAGGAATGGAGATGGGAAACGCTACCTTGAGCTTAAACACCCAGTAAAAATGAACTCGGTATTATCATGCTAATTAACTGGGTTTGATCTGCTGTAGAGAGCATCCCTTTATGAACTGTGTGAGGCCCTTTGCAATGGGGCGTTTCTTGGTACTGCAATGGACCACACCAGCACCAAGCATCGCTTTGCCATCCATCTCTGCTAACCCCTACCCCCAGTTCACCCACACTGCCCATTTCCAGCCCTTTGAGTTTATTAGCATCTCTTAACATTCAAAGTTCAAGACAGAACACCACTCAGTTCATTATTATTTCATCTGAGCAATGGACTTTCTGAGCACTTGATCTTCCCATGTCCAGCAGCTACAGCAAAGCAATAGGATTCAAATTAGAAACACAACAACTAAAGTTCTTTCTTGAGCAAAATCCTGAGGTTTGAAGCCAGGTTTCATGTTTCTCATTTCTTCATTTCAAATCACCAGACCTGGCAGTGCTGGAGTTTGTCCCAGCTGTAGGATTTAATTCCCAATTCCCCCAGCCTCAAACTGGCATTTTCCTTTACTGAAGCCAACGCTGAGATGGCAAAGGCCCACAGAGAGGAATGGAAAAATGAACGAAATGGAAAATTAAACAAAAGCTTTCAGCTGAGCAACTTCCCCTACCCAGAGCTATAAAAATGAGGAGTGCAGAGACCTTGGGGAATGGATCCTGCCAGCAGAATGCACATGGCCAGAACACTGCTGCCAACTTCAGAGAGAAAATCATAACCCAGATGAAGGGGGTTTTCCCAAGGTTTTCCCACAAAGTGTTTGGTACAGCTGAGTCCTGAGCACAGATTTCCTCTGTCCTCCCCTTGGCAGAGTGGTCACAACCTGATGGAATCCCAAACTCCCAATCTCATTAACACGCTGGTGTCAATGGATGGGGCTGAGCAATCTTTTGTTATTGGTATGGGCCACGTGATGCGTTTCAAAGCCCCAGCATTACTCAAAGCAAACGCAGGAGCCTGATGGTGCCTTTTCATCCCAAACTTGTTAGGAAACACAGCTTGGGACCTGCCACAGGTCACACCTAGGGAGAGGTGTGCATTGCAGCCAGCCACAACATGAGTCCTCTGTGACTCATGAACTCAAGGTCCCCTTCCCTTTGTCCAAACATTGCCACAGAACCACAACAAGAAGCACTCTCCCATTCCTTTCTCCAGTATCACAACTCAAATGGGGCCCAGCCACCTCTGGGCCATTAAACCCAACCACCAAGAAACGCTGCTCACCTTACAACAAACAAATCCAGCCTCTCTGTGGGATTCTGCTTTCTTTGTTCTGCTTTATCACATGTCAAGAGTTTGTTAGCACCAGTCTCCTGCAGCAGCTGGTGCTGAGCCAGGAGCAGTGCACCTCAAACCAACACCCACAGTCTCCCAGTCTGGGACCAGAGTTTACAGCATGGGACTGGTGAGCCCTTGGCGCTGTCTTGTCCTGCTCATAGAATCATTGAATTGTTAAGGTTGGAAAAGAACTCCGAGATCATCCTGTCCAACTGTCAGCATAACAACACCGTGCCTACAGAATCATTAAGGTAAGAAAAGACCTCCAAGATCATCTCATCCTACTGTCTACCCAACATGACCATGCCCACTTGTCTCAGTTACCTTGGAGTGCTGGGTGTGTGTCCTACACATCCAAAATGTGGATGTGGGAGGTGTTTGGGTTTAGGACCTGCTCCTGTGAATGTGATGCTTAGGGACGTGGTTCAGAGGGCATGAATGACAGGCAAATGGTTGGACTGGATGATCTTAGGGGTCTTTTCCAACTCTAATGATTCTATGATTCTATGAATACAGGTCAGGAAAAAGAGCTGTGGGGAATTCTGAAGTCAGCTCATCAAAACAGTGGGGCTATGAGGGGTGGCCCTAGGTGGAGCCATGTGTCAGACTCCACGATCCTTGTGGGTCCCTTCCAACTTTGGATATTCTGATGCCATGGTAAGAGATTTTACCCAGGGGATGCAAAGCCAGCTTCAAACACACACACTCCCTTTTTCTCCAAAAAGGGAAAAAAGCCATATTTATTTAGTGGGGTCAGGCAAAAAGCCCCATTACTTTTGAGGGGTCACTCCAGCACTAAGTTCACAAAGGAATAAAGGCAAGGGGGAGGAGAGGGGGGGCGTCTATCAACTCAGGAGTCGCCCAGCGGAGTACAAGTCCTGCCTCCTTCTTCCTCCTCCTCCTCCTCCTCCTCCTCCTCCCAGATGTTCCCTTGTGTGCAGCCATCTGTTGAACTCCCTCCTCCCTCCTCCTGAGGGGAAGGGGGCAGCCCGCCTGCCCGGCCAGCTGCACGCCTCGGCGGCGGCGGCGGCAGAGAAGGAGGAGGAGGAGGAGGAGGGAGGAAGGAGCCTCCCGGCCCCCAGGCTGTGCTGCTGCCGGCTCCCCGCCGTGGGAACCGGCGTTGCTTGCCCGTAGGAGTGAGAACCGATCCCGGTCCCGGTGAGTGCCTTCCCCCATCCTCTCCCCACGCAGAGCTGCGGGGTTTTGGGGAGGATCACCCATCCCAAATTCTCTCTTTTTTTTTTTTTTTGAGGAGGTTGGGATGGCTGAGCCGCCCCGGGAAAGTGGGGATGCGCTGAGCCGGGCGGGGGGGGGGGGGTGATCGATGGGAGTTCTCCCCTCCCCCACCTGCAGTGTCACCGAGTGGGGAAACTTTTGCAGTGCGTTGAGTTTTTTGTTTGTTTGTGGTTTTTGTTTTGCTTGTTTGTTTGTTTGTTTGTTTGTTATTGTTGTTTTTTTTTTGCCACGCGTGGGATTTCAGCGACGCGGCGGTGCGGGGTCATCCGCTCCAAAAAGCGGAGAGGGGAAGGGGGGGGTGGAACCACAAAGCCCTGGGCTGGAGGCAGAGCACTTCTTCCCCGCAGCAGTCATCCCCAAAGGGGGAGGCAGGGGGTGTACGACCCCTCCCGAGCTCCGCTCGTTTCCTCCCTTCTCCTCCCTCCGTGCAATGGTGGCTGCGGAGCGCTCAGAATTGCCACGGCTGCAAAGTAATCCGAGCAGCAGCTGGAAGCTGCGCACCGCCTCCCGTGCCCGGCTTCAGCGCTTCGGTTTCACACAGGGCTCCCTGTGTCCCCTCCTCTTCCCCCCTTCTTTCCCCTCCCAGCACCGAGAGAAGGGATTTTTTTTTTCTCCTTAATTCCTTTTTTTTTTTTTGGCTGCGATCTTGAGCTATAGAAGCTCGCACAAAGGTAAGGGGAGAAAGAAAAAAATGGGGGGAAAAAGGGAAAGCAAAGCTCAGAGGATGGGTGAGGAGGGTGCAGAGGGTGCTGGAGAGATACGGGCACGGCAAAGCTCCCGCCTGGGAATTTCCCATGCCTCTGAGTGGATTAAGCTGGAGGGGAAGGTGTGCTTGGGGAGGGGGCAGGGAGAGGAAGCAGCCTTGGGTTTGTGTGGTGGTGTGGTTCTGTTGGAAAAGAAAAAAAAGAAGAGAAAAAGAAAGAAAAAGAAAAAAAAATGAAAAAAAAAAAAAAAAAAAAAGGAAGAAGAAGGAGAAAAATAGTAAAAAAAAAAAAAAAAAAGAAAGAAAGAATGAAAAAGGCAAAAAGAAGGAAAGGGGGAAAAGAGAAAGAAATAAAGAAGCAAAGAAAGAAAAGGGAAAATGAAAAAGAAGGAAGAAAAAAAAGAAGGAAATAATGGGGGGAAAAAAGCAAGGATAGGAAAGAAAGGAAAAGAAAGAAATAAGAAGAGAGGGAAGAAAGAAAGGAAAAAGAAAGAAAAAGCAGCTGCTGGTTCTGACTTCTGAAGCAGGAGGTCAGAAAGCACGGGGCTCCCTTGATAACGCACACACCCTGTAAACTTTTCAGCAGCACCATGGAAACTTCTTATTAATGCTGCAATCATTAAGAGACACAGGGGCCAGCAGATTTATTAGTGCAGCCGACCACAACACATGTCAGCCCTCCTGAAACAAAGAGCCTTGTCAGCTCTGCTCCTCTGCTTGGGATGGGTGGGAAGCCCCGGGATGGAGAGAAGGGTTTGGGTGATGGGGAAGTGGCATTGCCTCCGTTAACTGGCGTTTCCCCATTGTGGTCAGCTGAGCCCTGATGCAGTTTGTTGGCAGTGAAGGTATTTGGAGCCTGGGGAGGTACGTGTTTGGACGAGATGATCTTAAAGGTCTTCTCTAGCCTTAATGATTCTATCATTAGTTGGATGGGGTAATCTTAGAGGGTCTTCTCCAGCCTTAATGACTCTGCTCTGTGGTTAGTTGGATGGGATTATCTTAGAGGTCTTCTCCATCCTTAACAATTCTATGATTAGTTGGATAGGATTCTCATAGAGGTCTTCTCCATCCTTAATGATTCTATGATTGGTAGGATGGGATTGTTTTAGGGGTCTTCTCCATTCTTAATGAGTCTATGATTGGTTGGACAGGGTGATCTTAGAGGTCTTCTCCAACCTTAAGGGTTCTACGATTGGTTGACTGAGATGATCTTAGAGGTCTTTTCCAACCTGAGTGGCTTTATGATTCTGTGAGCTGAGCTGTTGGTGTTGGTCGCGGCAGCTCCGAGACAGAGGATTTCCCCGGGTGCCTGCCATGATAAATCAGCTGCTGTCAGCCTGAATGAGAGCATTCACTGAAGTTACAGTAGGAAACTTGTCTCTCGTGGACACTGTGCCATTGCTCTGCAGAAAGCAGCCGGTGCCCATTGCCGGCATTGCGCTGAAATATCGCATTGATCGCCACTGCCGCGCTCGTCCGGAGGCACGCGGGGTTTGATTGCAGTGCTGTGTGAGCACGGGTGGTGCAGAAAGGGAAGCTTAGAGAGATGCCGTGGCAATGCTCTAAGGGTACATCCCCGGGAGGATTGACAGCGTTAAACTTGGCTGGCTGCTTCGGGCAGCCCCACGGTGCCAAAGCAAAGCGAGTCGGCAGCCAATGTCACTCTGCACTGGGGCAGAGCATGGCAGCTCTCGGTCACTTTATAACCCCTGGGAGGCAGTGCCAGCCCTGGGAGGCCGTGGAACGGGAGGTGCTTGCTCACATGTGGGATATAAGCAGCGCTGAGCAGTGTCAGTTCTCCCTCCCCGGTGCAGAGGCAGCGGGTGCACAGGGTGGGTGCTGCTGGAGACGCAAGGCGGTGAATGAATGCGAGTAGCTTGCATGCAGGGAGCGATTGCAAAGTGCCTGGAGGGAGGAAGGATGTGACATCCCAGGGGAGCGTGATTTCTGATAGCAAAGTACAGCAGGGAAGACTGCAAGATTCGAGCGAGGGGGTGTGCTTCATCCTTGTTTTTTCAGACTGAGTGCAGGGAAATATAACAGCATTGAAAGGATGGGAGCAGAAAGCTGCGAAACAAACAAAACATATCAAATCAATTAATTTTTTTTTTCTTTTTGGGGGGGTGTAGGAAGAAGCATCCAGCACTCACCCAGCGCTGCAGTGACAGCAGTGTGTGCCATCCACCCCAGTGTGAGACGGAGCCAACAGAAGGAGGTGAGGCACTGTGAGGCACTGCCTTCCTGAGGTTCAGACTTTTCCCTCCATCCCTAACTGCTTTTTTTCCTCTTTCACTCTATTCTCCCTCCTCCCTCTTTCCCCAAGCAGAAGCTGAAGGGGAGGGGGGATATAAGACAAGAGGCATGCTTGTCCACAGCCCTCCCGACCCCATCGCACCGATATAGTGGGGCTGGAGCAGGCAGCAACCACAGCACTCACAGCCTGGAATGGCTTCAAAAGAAACTTCCGAGCAGTGAGATGTTGGGGGCCGGGAGGAGATAAAGGCTGGCTCGAGCAAGCCCTTTCTTGTATGAAAACTTGGCACCTGGACCCAGCGAGACGAATGTATGGCAGGCTCCACGCCATTCATTCTTGGCTGAGGAAGCCTTGGGATTTTTGTTTCTATTGCAATTTTTTTTTTTTTTTTAATTTCCTGGAAGCTGCTGCCGTTGCTTCTCAGAGGATTCAAGATGCTCAGCAGGGAGGGGGGGAGGAAATGCATTCCCCGAGAATCTCAAAGACTGCAGGGGATTATCCCAACCTGGCTGCTGCAGCACGGGACATTCCTGAGTTGTATTAACCAGGCTCCAAACGGAGCAGTGGCAAGCTGGAAAAAAGCACTTTATCATGCCTGCAGAGGGCCATGTGCTGTGTGTAACAGCTGAGTGCTGGCATCTGTGGGGCTTCTTTTCCTTCCCCTTCCCCCCCCTTGTGATTCTTTTTTGCTGTCTGTGATGCTGACTCCTTGCCTTCCTCTGCTCCATGCCTGGCTGTGATGTGAGGGGAGAGGGGAACAGACCCATCTTTAAGGGGAGAGGAAAAGTGCAGCTGGAGAAAATGTGATTCCCTCTACTGGGACCAAAGTGTGGGTTCTCATGAGCCAGGAGACAGCGTGTGGCTTGGATATTAAGGGTTCTGTTTCCTCCCCATCAGGGCTACTGATGATTCTTGAGGTTTTTTTTCTGAGGTGTGCAGAGGGGGAAAAGAAATAAGGCTTTTTATTTGACTTTGAATGTGAGATCACCAGGAAAAATTCAGACTTGGAGGCAAAGCCCTGCTAGGGTGGATGGGCCTGCAGCGTGATTCCTTACACCCATCATGTCTGAAACTCTCCTCTTGGGACAAAATGCATACCTAGCCCCAGTCACCTCTGAGCAGGGGCATCTGCAGCTAGATCTATGGCTCATGGGATTGCAGAACCATGGAGGAGCTCTGAACATGGCTCACGCTCTGGGGGAGCGTTGCTGTTCTGAACTGTCCCCAGATATCTCCCTGGGATGTCTCTATCTCTGGTGTCTGCAACACAGTGCATGGCAGCCCCCACCTGCTTTGGAGGATAAAATGGAGCAAGGAGCCAACACCATGCTGGCCATAGAATAACAGAATTATTAAGGCCATAAAAGACAACTAAAATCATCTACTCCAACCATCAACCCCATCACCCATGCCCACTAAACTATGGCCGACCATACAGGGGCAAAAGTATGGGGCTGTTGCAACTTGAAAATTCTGGGTCTGGGTCAGCTGTTGAGCAAAACTGAATCAGATTAGGCTGGGACTTGGTTTAATGCAGGGTTAAATGCTAATTGGTAGTGGTTTTTGTGCGTCCTGGTTGACAGGTCACGTCTGACAGGACAAAAGTGTCAGCACACTGGTGTTGGACAGGAACTTCCCCACGGGCTGAGAACAGAGGAATTTCATCTTGAGTGGTGGATTTGAGGCTTGTGGTGATAACTCCTTGTTCGCCTCTCAGTCTTGGGACCAACCACTGTCACCCTTCTCTGCCAAACACCATCCAAGGGGAACTAGAAGAAGAGAGATTTAGGTTCGATAGGAGGAAGTTTCTTGCTCAGAGAATGGTGAGGCTCTAGCACAGGTTGCCAGAGAAGCTGTGGGTGCCCCATCTCTGGAGGCATTTAAGTCCAGTTTGGATGGGGCTTTGGGCACCTGGTCTATGGGAGGTGTCCCTGCCTTTGGCAGGGTTTGGTACTGGATGGACTTTGAGGTCAACCCAAACTCCTTCAACCCAAACTGTTCTGTGATTCTATGATCACTAAGGAAGTCAAGGAACATCTAGGGTAGGAACCACAATGGGGACAGTGCCCTGCTGGTACAGCCTTTGTTAGCCTTACCCAGAACTCTCTTTCCTCTCCCAACTCCCTTCCCAAATCTTGTAAGGCACAGCAAATATCTCAAGTGCTTCGCTGGGGTGGAGGCAGCCCCTGAAGCTCCCAGTGATGCTCTGCTGGGCAGCCCCCATGCTGAGCATCCCATTGTTCACAGTGGTCACGCTGCAAGAGTTATTAGCACTGGGGAATGCCGGGAGGGGAAGGAGCCTGGAGCCTCCAGCTGTGCTGTTTGCAAAAATGACTGCCAGGATTGTATTTATTACCTCCTCGGTGGAGGGTCTGCAGCTGCACACTGACAGCCCCAGGCAGAAAAGAAGCCTGGAGATTATTGTCGGGGGGGAGTGGGTGGGGAAGGGAAGCCACAAAAACAGATTAAAAGCCTACAAAGAAGCTCTGAGCCAGGGCAGCACCATAGGACGCCCAGTGTTACTCTGCCTCCCTGATTTGGCCTTCCTTATCAGCATCCTAAAAGGGAGGGCTGTGAGAAGGGACGTTTGGATTTGCTGCCTTTCAGAGAGCTAAAGCATGGGATCCTCTTAAAATCTGAACTGGTGGCTCTGCCCCTGCATTCTACTGGGGCAGATTTTTTTTCCCTGGGATTTTTGTGTCATTTTGGCAGGGCACAAGGGACTGAGATGTGCTGTTGGAGGAAAGCTTGCATTTGGACAGCCGACTTGTAACTTCAAAGATAAAGAGAAGGAAAACTTTCTTAGGTAAGGGTACAGGATGAGCTATTCGTGTCTTACCAAGAAGCAGAGGTATCACCCTGGGAGATCTCACCTTCCAGCACTATCCCTCCCCTCCCACCCATTTGGCTCATCCCTTCCAGAGGAGCCCATCCACGTCCATCTTGTTCCATCCATCCAGCTCATTCCTTCCAGAGGGGCCCATCCATGTCCTTCTCATCCACTCAGTTCATCCCCTCCAGAGGAATTTGTCCATATCCATCTCTCTTCCATCCATTCAGTTCATTCCTTCCAGAGAAGCCCATCCATGCCTGTCTCCTTTCCATCCACCCAGCTCGTCCCTTTCAGAAGAATCCATCCATGTCCATCTCAATCCTTCTGCAACTATCACACCAGGGTTGTTGAAACAAACCATGTCAGGGCTGCATGATATGCCCATAAACTCTAGGAACAGTAAAAAGCAAGAAGTGTAGGAGGCTTCCTCTCTCCATGCTGCACATCTTGATATTTCTCACTGGTTTGACACATGGTGTTTATCCCACAGTGCACTCCTCTTGGATTATATGTCTCTGGGAGTTGAGTGGGTGAAGCATGGACTCAGGTATGGGGCAGCATCATAAGGTCTGAGGCTATAGAAACTTGCTGGGATTGTTTTAGCTTTCAATGATTAGCTAGCAAAAAAAAAAAAAAAATTAAACTTTGTGTTTAGTGTAAAATACATTTAAAAGGTGTTTTTACACTTTAAAAATTCACATCAGCTTGGTTTATTTCATCTGACATCCTGACAGAGAGGAGGGGAAAGCACCCTCAGCCCCATGGTGCATACAAAGCAGTGATCTGTCACTTTGAACTTGGTGTTTTGCAAAGTGGATGCAGCGCTGGAGGACTTAATGCTGCTGGGTTACTGATGTGATTTGGGCAAAGCCCTGGGGCATCAGAGATGATGAGTTCTGCTGGTGGCCCCACTTGGCCCCTCTATGGCAGAATGTATCAAAGCTGCTGTAAACCTTGGTGCAAACCTGCCCAGCTCCCATTGCTGGGAGATGCTATGCCAGATGGCTGCTCTGTCTGCTTGGTTGTGCCAAAATAGCTCCTCTCATTTTGGTGTGATCGCAGGGGTGATGCTGGAGCTGGAGAAGACCCTGAGCTCCTACATTCCTCTTGGTCATTTGCTTTGATCGTGTTGGGATTCAGTTCTGATGGTGCTGCTCCCAGTTTCCATGTCCCACACTGAAAATGCACCCAAAGCCACATGGACCTGGTTTCGGTGTTGGGCTGACATGGTGGTTGGACCAGATGATCTCAGGGGCCTTTTCCAACTTTGATGATTCTGTGATTTTATGTTGTGGTCAGGAGGTGATGGAGATGCTCTTGCATTAGAACTGCCTCCTCCCAGCACAAGCAGAGCTCTGCATGAGACTGATGAGCAAAATCAATTTCAGAAGCCACAGGAGACCCTTTCCCCCCATGCAAGAAACAGTTACAACCTGAGAGCTGCAACCAGCCCTATTTAGGCAGTGGATGTAACTCAGCTGGAACTCGCCCTATGGGCTGGCAAACCTGCCCACACAGGTTTCCTTTTGTTTGAGCCAAAAATACCCCCTACACACCTTGATTTCCTCCTGGGACAATGCTACGGGGATTGCATAAGTGGAATAAACTGTTAGTTGTTTAAGCACTCAGATGATAAATCACCCTTGGCTTCTTGCTTAAGCAGATGGGATTTGTGACATGAACAGTTGGAGCAAAGATTATTTTAAAAGGGCTCTCAATTTCTTTTGTAAAGAAAGGATTATTATTTACCTTAAAAAAGAAATACTGAAGGGGCTGCTCGAGCAGAGCAAGGGATATCATTTAACCCAACGGTGACAAACCCATGATGTGATGCTGCTGTAGGGATTGGACGTGCTGGGCTCCCTATTGGCCATTTCCATGTGTCTTCTTTGCAGCCTGGTGGGGTGAAGTGCTGCCTGGTTTTGTTTGGGGATTGTGAAACACTTCTGATGCTTACGGCTTGTCTGGCTTTGCTCTTGCTAATCTTATCTGTCTCATCCCCTGCAACATCTACGAAAATCACCACGAAGGACAGGGAGCAGTCTCAGGTGCTGGTTAATCGTTGCTTTTTGGCTCAGCAGTTTCTTCATGTCTGTATCTGACAAAAGCAAATGGAAATTATGGAGCTTTGGGGAAAAGTGAGGAGCGGTGTGTTGTTTTTCTAGCTGTTCCACATCCCAAATTCCCCACTTTTTGGTGAGATTCAAGCCTTGCAATGATAGCCTTGACAGTGTGGTTATTTTCACCCCCAGTTTGGTGTCTATTGTATGTAATTCTCACATAACCTGCTAATGAGGATTCCCAATACCACTCAGGTAATTACTTGCTAATGATTCCCCTTTGGTTGTGGAGTTCCTGACCCAATGCAAAAGAGGTGGTTTCACATCCATTATTAGAAATCATCAAAGTAAAAAGGAATTCAGAGACTTCTGGCCCTGCATTTAATTCTGACTTTTTGAAGTGACCAGAAAGATGGAGCAAAAAGCGTTCATCACCCTTAGGATGACTTCAGTCTCTCTTCACACTGTGGAGACATAAGGGCCAATGATGCCATCTCGGTGCCCCCAGCCCAGCACCAGGGTTGGAAAAACAGGGAGAAGATGGGGCTGCACACCCCTTTCTTCTTTTCTTATTTTTGGCATGGCTCTGCTATGTAAGCAGCTTTGCACTCCACATTAATAAACCACCTCTGGTAATTTATCATTCAAAGGTGGCTAGAGGGGCAGCTCCTGATGGAGTGAGCCATTAAATCAAATTGGATTAGGACATGCCAAGAAACAAAACCTCATCCTTCTGTCACTAGCGCCTATGGAAACTCCAATAAACTCCCCCAGAGCTATCCATTGGAATTTAGGAACAAACCTAACCAACAGGTACTTTGGTTCTCATTAAGTCTCCCTACACCCAAACATTGAGTGCAAAACCAACACCGTAAACTAGCTAATGAAATAAGATAGAGCCAGTTCAGGAAACCTTGCTCCTATTTGCACCAAAAATCATTGAATTACGGAAGCGTTGAGGTTGGAAAAGACAACAGATCATCTAGTCCAGCCATCAACTCCTCCATAAGGAAGCACTAGTTTGTTTCATAAGCTTTATAGAGAGGACTAAATATATCTGTTTTATTCATATGGGGATCCCTTCTTTAGCAAAGAGCAAAAGCCAGAATGACCTTTACTTTCAACGGATTCATTAAAAAAAAACCAAAACATTTCTCAGCAGCAATTTCTTTATCACAGGAGGAGTGTGTGTTTGTGAGTCAAGGGTTAATGGTCTCTGTAGTCTGGTTTGAACCAGTTTTGTCTGCTCACTGTGATGTTTGGGATCCAACTGTTTTTGCAGCTGTGGCGTCATTTGGTCTCACTGTGCCAGAGTCCACACTGGAGATCCGCAGCTGTTGCTGGTGCAGAGACCTACCTGATGATCACTCTTGCTTTACGTAATGAATAAGGAAAATGTTTTTTTTTAAAAAAAGTCCATCCCAGTTGCATCTCAGAGCCTCCCAGGTATTTAGAGGCTTCCCTCCCCTTTCCTTCCCTCCCCTTCCCATCCTTGTCTACAGGATTTATGGCCTCTATCAAAGCTTTCTATGTTTTTCCAATAGCCTTTCCTGCCCTAGTTAGTGAAGGCAGCCAAATGGGCCTTGCTATGAACACTTTGCCTTTTGTTCACTTGTTTGCTATAGAATACTATAGAATCGCAGTGTCATTAAGGTTGGAAAAGACCTCTCAGATCATCTAGTCCAACCATCAGCCCATCCCCACCATTCCCACTAACCCATGTCCCTCAGTGCCACATCTCCGTGGTTCTTGAACACCTCCAGGGGCAATAACTGCCACCGCTTCCCTAAAGTTTAAGCAGAAAATTGACAGCAAATCTGTAAACTCTACCCAATCTGTCCACCATGCTTTAGACACATAGGAATTCACGTCATGCCTGATCTGTTTTTGAGCTACTGTTGAGAAGTCCTGTCCTCCCCACTCCTGTAATCCTGGCTGCTGCATGTAACTTAGGTTTGGAGGATGCAGGCAGGGATGGGGTGGGAAGTAGAACCTCAGGGATCATTCCACTCCACATTGGTCAAGGGAGAGATGAAGTGTCTCCAAGTTTAGTCCTTTGCAGATTTCACCCCCTTCATCTCATTCCCAACGAGGGGATGAGACCTTAATCAATAGGCTTCTGTCCAAGGTGGGATGTGACAGCAGTTCCCACCTGGTAAAAAGGAGTTTTTTTGGGATGAGTTTGGACTGGATGTTAGGAAGAATTTCTTCATGGGAAGTCAGGTCAGGCATTGTAATGGGCTGCCTAGGAAGGTGGTAAAATATCCATCCTTGGAGGTATTTGAGAAATATGCATGTGGTGCGTAGGGACTTGGTTTAGTGGTGGTCTTGGTGCTGATGGGTTAATGGGTTAGATGATATGGTTCTTTTCCAACATAAATGACTCTATGATTCTATGAGGTGACAGTCTCAGCTGCGGATCACTGGACAAGTGAGAAGAGTCTTGAAGAAAACACAGAAGGAGGAAAGCAGGCGCAGTGAGAAGTGTGAATTTGCAGCAACACCACAGCAGGGCTTTCCTCTAAACCACTCCCCCAGATTGGTTTTCCTTTGTGATCTGGTTTTAAAATCAATGAGACTTTTAAGGTTTTTTTGGCAGGGAAATTTCAAAGTGAGGTTCTTGCTAAGGGACGGTGCAGGAGATGAGCAGATCTGCAGATGTGGAGAGCTGGGATTTGGGGCAGAAGGCTGACACCCTGCAGGGAGCTTGTTCTGACCTTGGCTCCATTACCCACCACTGAATCTCCTTGGGAATTGGGGTTGACTCAGGATATTCACCATGCAGAAAGGACAAGATAGATATAAAGAGCCCTGGGGAGTGATTCTTCATCCCAAGGAGATCCTGGGAGCTCTCAGGATGCAAAAATATTCTCACAGCACGACACCCATAGAAATGAAGATGTCCTTGAAGAGAATAGGAAAAAAACAGCCTGAGGGTTGGTCGCTTTCTCCTGGTGGCTTTCCTCCACATCCTCAGTGACTGTCCGAGGAAATGGGCCTCAGGGCTCCTGGCATTGCCTCCGGGTGAATGTCCCCAGTGTTGCAGGAGGATAACTCATCTCCCTTTCACTAGGGGATACCTTGGCCTCCTGCCTTTATCAACAGAGCAGCTCGTAGGCAGCCATCCAAAGGCAATTGGATGTGGTTTCAAATACACGCTGTACGCAGATGAACTGTAAATGCCTGTGGCATGTTTCCTTCCCCATTTCAAAGAGCTGGATCGATTGCTCCATGCAGCAATAAAGCATGCCCATACCTGACTAAGCTCTTTGCTGATTATCTGGCAATATACACTTTTTCTTGGACTAGAAGGTGACCAGCACCTTTATTTCTGCTATCTTTTGTCACAGCTATTGGCCAAGTGGCTTGTTAGTCTATGAATGCTTCATGTTGCTCCATAAGGGAGATTTTAACTGGTAGTAATGGATTGCATCTCACCAGTCTCATACTGGTGTCTTTGGAGCTTCTGGGGTCTGATCCAGTGCCCTTAGAGACAATGAATATGATGCTAGCAGCAACCAAACTGGGGTTTCAAAGGAGTAGTTAAGAGGCACTGTCCAGACTGAGATATCAAGTGGGAATAACTAATTAATGGCATCTGAGAGAAGAGATGCCAATAGTATCATAAGAAAAGAGATAAAAAAAGAGATACCACTAAGCTTCTCACCACTGATAGTGGGGTTACACTAAGGCAGATGCTTCTCTGTAGATGAAACATTAAACATTAAGGTTTTTTAGTTCCCAATGATGAATGATTGCAAAATGGAGCAATGGTCTGCATGCACAGACTCAGAGTGGGGGTTGACATCAATGTAATTAAGAAAGAGTTACCTGGAAATGTGTCTGCAGGAGTATCCACTGCATCCCATCTGCTCACACGTTTTCTCTCAAGAAACAGTTACTATGGGCTCATCTTACTGGTTTTCTGTTGTTTCTACAGAATAATGTACCCCAGAGGATTGCATGTTGGCCTTTAGCAACGCTTTGGTTGCAAGCATTTTGGCCAGAGTCCCAAATCCTTCTCTCTGGTCACAGGAGATATGGGAGTCACTCCCAGACAAGTCATATCAATGATCAGGACAATATTTTGGCCAGGCATTTTCCCCTTTGCACTTCTTTTGCACACTGCAAGGCACATGCAGCCATCACCCAAGACTTCAGCTGGAACAAAGGTGGACAGCCCTCTCTGCGGACCTGCAGGATCACTTACATGCTCCTATTTACCCTCCCCAGAGATGCAGAGCAAAAGCTTTTTTGGCTGGCTTTGGAAGTCCTGCAGCTGCGGGGTTGTGCAGACTTGCTGCCAGAATGTGATCAGAAAAGGGTCAGCAGAGGTGGGAGGTGCAGATCAGCTCTCTTCCTCCTCTGGCTGCAATGACGGAGGGAGATAAATGTCTCAGATGATGGAAGTTCAAAATCAGAGGGGAGGAGAGATCTCGCTTGCCAGCATCATTAATCAGAGAGAATGCTTAATTAGCAAAGACTCCAGAGTCTGTGTGTGTGAAATAAATTGGCTCTCTCCAGTCAGTGCCTTTGAGAGAGGCTGGGCCCACCACAACACGTTCTGGGGTAGATCAGGCTGTCCTTTGTTCTCATGGTAGGCAAGGAGCCAAATGGCCATTCTGCCTGCCACCACCCAGAAGAGATTGGCTTGAAGCACATGACGTTAAGCAATGAGTCTGTCTGCTGAAACATGTCTAGATTTGTGTCTGAAGTCAAAGTAAGGGAGACATGCAGTCCAATGGCAATGGGCAGCCTTCTAGCAGTTCACAGAATCATAGAATATTCCAAGTTGGAAGAGACCCATAAGGATCATCCAGTCCAGCTCTTGGAAGTTGGACTCTTGGACATCTTGCAAGATTCCTACTGGGGATTGTAGCATGAGAAATATGGTGTTTAGGACATCCTTGCTATTTACTTATAGTTAGTTAATACTTTAACAGAATGCTTAATCTATCCCTTTGGAAAGACAGGAAGAATGTGTAGCTCAAACTGTTGCACACCTTCAGGAAAATAAGGCAATTAAATCGAATTTTTTTCATCTTGTTTTCCAGGTCAACGATGCAGTTCTTAGCCTGGTTCAACTTGCTGCTTCTCCTTCCGTGTTTCAGTGCCACCAAAACCTGCTTCCCTGGCTGCCACTGTGAAGTGGAAAGCTTTGGTCTCTTTGACAGCTTTAGCCTGACCAAGGTGGACTGCAGCGGAATAGGCTCACACATTGTTCCTGTCCCAATCCCTCTGGATACCTCCTACTTGGATCTGTCCTCAAACAAACTGGAAACAATCAATGAATCAATGCTAACTGGCCCTGGATACACCACCCTGGTGAGCCTCGACCTGAGCTACAATAATATCGCCAAGATTTCCTCCACAACTTTCTCCAGGCTTCGCTACCTGGAGTCTTTGGATCTGAGTCATAACTCTCTGGAAGTCCTTCCAGAGGACTGCTTCTCCAGTTCTCCTTTGGGTGACATAGATTTGAGCAATAACAAGCTTTTGGATATAGCGATGGACGTTTTTGCTTCAAAGGGTCAAGGAAAACCCTTGAATGTGGATCTATCCAATAACATGCTCAGCAAAATTACAAGGAACCATGAAAAGAGTGTCCCCAACATCCAGAACTTAAATCTTTCTGGAAACAGACTAACAACTGTGCCAGACCTCCAAGGCATTCCTCTTCGATACTTAAATCTTGATGGCAATCCATTAGCCAAGACTGAGAAAGGAGACTTCAAGGGGCTGAAAGGTTTGATTCATTTATCCCTGAGCGGCCTCCATAACTTTAGAGAGTTATCTCCTTACAGTTTCAAGGAATTACCAGCCCTCCAAGTTCTGGATTTATCCAACAATCCCAACCTGAGGTCATTGACTGCTGAAGTTATCTTTGGCCTGAGCTCTATACAAGAGCTCAACCTCTCTGGGACCGGCGTGTCCTCCTTGCCAAAGACTGTGCTGAAATACCTACCTTCCCTCAAAAGCATCACCCTGAGGAAGAACATTCAGTGTTTTAAGACCATCAAAGAAGGACAGTACCACCGACAAATTGGGCTGACCAAAAAAGAGGTCCTCAGCTGCCACGACAGCCATGGGGCCGTAGCAGCAGCGCCTTACGTTTTGTGATGAAAGAGAGAGATGGGGAAAGTTGGAGTGGAAGAGTGGGGGGGGGCTGTGGGGTTTGCACAGGTGTTGGACTGAGCTGGCTTGCAGTGTGCCTTTTGTAAAGCTGTCAATAATTTATATATTTGTATATGCCAATACTTGATTGATTGTGGGTTTTATACACTTGCAAATCCTCACTTGCAGGCCCCAGATTCTACCCGGTGTGTTTGGGGCTGCATAGCTCAAGAACAGTGCTGATGGACACTGAGGACCAAGCTGAGGCTTGGGGCAGAAGAGCTGCTGTGATGCAAAACTCCACGCCCCAGACCGGTCTGCAGGTGCAAAGATACACCTCTCCAAAGTGCATCCCAAAACCTGCCAACTCCATAGCTGTTGGCTTCCAAACCCATTCTTCATCCCTGTTTTTAATTATTATTCCCCAAGAAGTGCCTTCTGGATGTTGCCTTCATTAGCAGCACCCTGTTCCTTGTCATGCACTTTCAGTCTGAAGAAACATTTCCAGACAAACCTGAACACAGCATGCTCCTAATGTGCTGGTTTTTACATGATATTTGCATTGATGTGCAGTGAACACTGAGTAAGTAGAGAGTTTTCCACTCTTTTCTCCCTGTTTTCCCCACCTTGATTCTTTGTATGTCAGATTACTTTAGGTCTAGCCTTGGCAACCTCCCATCTGTATGACATTAGTGAGGCATTGATACATTGCAAAGGAGGAGAAGCATCTCACCCAGGAACCAGCTTCCATCAAGCAAATTGACTGAGAGACCACATAGCCAAGCTTTAAATGAGAAAACAATTCCCTCCTTCCTTTCTGGGTAAACTTGGAAGAAAACATTGACAGTGGTTTTTATCTCAATGACCTCAACCAGCCAAGCAAGCTGTTTCCAGGCTGATGTTCCCCAGCTGAACTCAACATCTGCAGCTCAGCTGGGATTGTGTGAGGCAACTTCCAAAACGTGCCAGGGGAAGAATTAGCACTGACGCCTGCAACCCTGGAGCAGTCTGCCTATCATGAGAAGGATCTTGAGGTATATTTTCATTCCAGTTCTGTGGCTTTTCTTTCTCTCACGTGGCTACTTGGCTACCAGCTGAGATCTGATGAAAAGCTTTGTCCTTGGAGCTTTATGCATTTTTCCTCTACTCTGAAATGCTGGCAAAGCAAAGGGGAGCTTGCCTCATCCCACTTCTTCTCCAGGTCAGGGGAAAGGGAGCAAAGGCAGCACAGTGCTTTACATGTAGCCTTCATCCTGGTCATAGGAGCTCCGCCAATGGAGATATCCATCCCAAATCTGCCACTTTGTCCTGGGGATGGGAGGGTATGTTGTAGATGGTGATCCTGCACGGATCTTCACACCCAGCCTTGTGTCAGGGTAACCTTAAAGTTTCTGAAAAAGGTTGAGGGAATCATAGAATCACAGAAAATCCTGAGTTGGAAGGGACCTATAAGGATCATCAAGTCTGACTCCTGGCCTCACACAGTGTCACCCAAAAAGAAGACCATACAACTGAGAGTGTTGTTCATACACTTCTTGAACTATGGCAAGCTTGGTGCTGTGACCACTTCCCTGGGGAAGCCTTCTGCAGTCCCCAACCAACCTCTCAGCCTTTTCCTGATATCCAACCTGAACCTCCCCCAAAAGGAGGAAGTCCATGCAAAGATGATGGAGACCCAGTCCACAGCCCTCCTTGGGAGTGTTGGGAGGAGCTCAGACTTCATCTTCACACCCCCAAAGGCCTCCACAAATGGAAAGCACATTGCCCAAAGCATTTCTTTCCAGCGATGGTAGAAACCTGCTGAGCCTGTAAAAGCCAGCCACTGCAAGGGGGCTCACCCCAGATTCAACGTCTTACTTTGGATATTTCAATCCCTCTCACATGCTTACACCCATCTCCTTTTTGATGGTTTGATGGCAGACCATAAGGTAGGATTTTAACCCTTTTCATCAGTGTTGGGGGCTTTGCCCCTCTGTTGAGTCTTCGAAAGGTTCGACCTGCCTTCACATTCATGAGAAACACAGTAGTTTTCTTAAAAAGGCAATGGGAATGCCTGCAGGCAGACAGAGATCTGGAAGAGAGCAGCAGCCAGGTGCAGTTTGGAAGAAAAGAGGTGGTTTTTAGTAGATGTTGCCTTTTTAAGAGAATTTTCTGCTGGCAGAAAAAAAAAGAAATGTAATCTAAAAAAAAAATTGTTTAATGTTGTAAGTCTGTACGTAGATGCAAGGTTACGGCGATCGTATACTGTTAGATTCTCCGGCTTTGCACCACTGTGGTAAATTTAAAACCCAATGTGACAATCCAGTTGAAGACTGCAATATTTCCTGGTGTAATCTCACGCTAGCTGCTAGCTGAACAAGTCTTAGCAAAGGCTGGCAAATACCATCGCTGTATTAGTTTGTTTTTTTACAGAACCTCGGCAACATTGTAAGGCTTTGTGATTACTCACAATATAATAAAGTGATTTGGAGGTGAACAAATGTGGATCTATTGTCTTAGCGATGGGAGGGTGGTAATTGGTTTAAGTCCAAAGTACAATGTGATGTGTTGCTGCCATTCCTCTGTAGCTTCTTCCCTTGCCCTGCTGAGCCCTACAAGAACTGTGAGTGTTGCATCTCCAAACTGCTGTGCTTGTCTCATTGGGCTCCTCATTAGTGCAAAGATTAAAAAGCTTCACAAGGTCCAGGTAAGCTGACTGGAAGGAAGTAATAGACGTTTGACAGTGTCCAGAATTGATGCAAGAACGTCTGGTGCAAATGCTATGGGATGTGCTCCAAACTTTGATAGAGGCAGTGGGAAGGTCTTAGTGGATTTAGGGAATGGTCTGCTAGTGAGGAGCTGAGTTGGAAGGCTGGCTTTGCAGAAAGGGTGATGTGGGGAGACCCACAAGCTGTCTACCCTGTCCTCCAGGACTGGCAACCATGGGGGACATATCTCCAGGAAAGGTCTGTTCTGGCTTCCAGAGCTGTTTAGAACTGTAGGGGAAGGCCAAGACCAACATATAGAGATGGTTGGACTTGACAGTCCTTGTTGGTCCCTTCCAACTCAAGATCTTCCATGATTCTACGATACCATGCCTGCTTCTTTTGTGCCCACCATGACACGGTCTCTGCTCATCAGGCTCCACCACAGTTTTCCTTCTGTGTCTCCTTCTGGATCATGGAATCATAGAATCATTAAAGCTGGAAAAGTTTTGTCCACCTACCACCACTGTTGCCCACTAAGCCAAGTCCATAAGTGCCACATCTCCACAATTGTTGAACACCTCCAGGGACTGTGAATCCACCACCTCCCTGGGCACCCTGGTGCCAGTATCCAACCTCTCTTGTGGAGAAGTTTTTCCTAATATCCAACCTGTTGGGATCTCTCTTGCCATGGGACAGGACTGTGCAGTCTGTGCCTAAAGTGATGGGTCTGAATCCATCTATCAGATGGATTCTCCAAATTCCTTGTGAATGCCCCAGCAGCACTGTGCTGCACCTTGTGTACTCCTTCACCCTATTTTAGCTCCCTCTCATTTTGCTGCTATTTGAATTACTTAAATAGCCTATCTGAATTCTTCTATGTTGCAACAGGCATGAGAGCCCCACCTGCAGCATGATGCCCTATGCTGTTCATATGTTCATCCCTCTCCATGATAGGACCCAGACAATAAAAACACAGAACTCACAGAGGAAGAAAAGGCACAGGGTGACTTCAGGGTTGGAAAATCATAGAGTTGAAAGGGGAGGAAAGTTGAAATTTGAGTTGAAAGGAGAGTTAAAGTTAAATAGGGAGGTTAGTGACCCTGCATGTGGCAGGGGGGTTGGAGATTCATGATCCTTGAGATCCCTTCCAACTCTGGCCATTCTGTGATTATGTGATTCTGTGAAAGGGACCCTCAAGGGCCATTTGGTCCAGCTCCGTTGCAATGAACAGGGACACCCACAGCTCCATCAGGTGCTTAGAGCCACATCCAACATGACCTTAAGTGTCTCCAGGGACAGGACATCCACCACCTCTCTGGGCAGCCTGTTCCAATGCTTCACTGCCTTTATGGTAAAAAAACTTTTTCCTTATATCTAGTATAATAAAATCTGAGGAGCCCACTTCCTGAAGCTGCCACCAGCTTGATACACAAGGAATCACAAACTAAACTCCAATTCCAGACGTCACCCCAGGCACCCAGACCAGGAAAACTAGGCAGGCAAGCTCTGGCTATCTCCAGGACCAGCTCAGCTCTGTGGCCGGATGCGTTTGTCCTGGCAAGTGAGATGGATGCTTTAATTAGAGGCTGAATATTTTTAGAAGCTGGAAAACCTCAGTGAAGGCTGAGCAATGAGGATACATTTAGGGAGGGAGAGCAGTGGCAGAGCTGGTGTTTGCTCACAGGAGTATCAGTGTCTCACCCTCCTTTCCAGCATGTTGAGAAGTGTATTGAGGGTCACTTCCCCTATTCCCCCTTATATCCAAGGGTCAGAGACAGCACAGGACAACACTCTTGTCTACATTTAAAAAGATGCAGCTCTTGATAGGCCAAATCACTCATCCCTTATCACTGTTCTGTAGGAGCTGCTTCTCCTGGCTGTCAGCTGTCAGACCACAGAAGTCTCTTGCTGACTGATAGTGTGACTGGTTCACAGCAGCACTGGGTGCAGTCCCTTTTTAAAAATAGCTGTATATTTTCCATTTTGCAGGAGGTTTTATTTCCAGCACTTCTGCCTCACACACCCGGACTCAGTCAGGCTAGAAAGCACCAGTGCACTTTTGCCAGGCCAGAAAGTAGTGCTCTGTGACTGGGGACCATCCTTCTGGAGCTAAATCCTGGGATAGTTTTGGGGCAGTGAAACCCTCTACCCTATGCACAATGTGTTGGACATGCAATTATGTTCCTCCTGCATCCCCCCCCCCCAGACATCTCCATCCTTCCCTTTTTGAGTGAACAGTGGAAGTAGGATCCTGGATAAAAGGAGGAAAACTGGGGCTGAGTCTGTTCTATCAGATAAATCCTCTGCTGTAATAAGCAGGGAACAGGAGCATCCTTCCTTAATCACAGACCTTGTCTCCGAGCAATTGTATGCCTATGTGCACACATCCACATCCCCCTTCTGCCCCATTCTCACCCTGCACTACTTCTTCCTAACAGCATCAAAATAAAAAAGGTTTAATGAAAGTGCTTCCTTCAAAATCCCTGTCAGCTGCAATGACTTTAGGCAGGGGAATGGGCTCCATCCCCTCTACAAGCCATTGGATGGTCCTTGTGTGACCCATAGAGAGGATTCAGCCTGGAAAACCAAACAAGTTCCTCCCTAGTAACCTTTCCACCACCATGGCAATGTTCTTTAAGCGCTGCCTGGGTCTCAGCACCAATACCCCCCTCTGATTCCTCCTTAGCAGTGGATGTGTGTCACGGTGCTTGCTGGTAATTGACTTGTGCCGTGCTGGGAATTTGAACCTACATTTCAAAGACATCGTTAACCTCCTTTTCCTTCTCTTTGAACTGCTTCACTTTATTGTAAGCTAAAGGAAACAGACAGCTTCTTCCTCCCAGAGCCCCTTTTGATGAGATCTCGGCACGATGCAGTAGAGGGCACAGTACCAGCAGTGAGGTCGGTGGCAGTGTATGAAGATGTATTTCAGTGGGATCAAGCTTTCCCTTGATTTCAGAGGGGACTGAAGATAAAGGGGTCCAGAGATACCCAAGAGATTAGCAGAGGCATACAACAGCATACTGCAGGATCTCTGCCCACGTAGGACCAAGGAAGAGACATGGGTGGTGGGTCACTCCCCCAAAAACCATGTTGGAGACCCTCTTCTGTGCTGGCCATCCTGCATGGCTTTGGCCACATGACATCACAAGTTTCCTGTGATGCTTCAGAGGTTGCTGATTTGCTTTGTCAGTTTGCATTAGCTATCCTCTTTACCTCCTCACTAGATGCTCTGCTGGGCATCTCCAAGTGACTGGAGTATGAATTCATAGAGAATCTATCTATCTCAACACCCTTTTTTCCACCACCTGAGTCATATGATGGGAAGGAAGAGAACCAGATTTGGAACAGAGCTCTGTTGTGTCTGCATGGCTCTTCTACAGTTCTTAATTCAACAGTATCCAGTTGTTAAAACCCCTTCCATAAATGATTGTCCTTAGCCTTTTGTAGGACTCACCAAATAATATTTACATATAGTTGGGGCTGATGATCTTCGAAGAGACAGGCAAAAGAGAATATTGATGATCTTTGAGGTTCCTTCCAACCTGAGCAATTCTACGATTTTCTGATTCTACCACAGCTCAGCTACTCTGCAGATTCAGCTAAGCCCCAGTCACCGTCTGCATTGAACTGTAGAATCATAGAATGGCTTGGGTTGGAAGAGACCCCAAAGATCATCAAGTTCTAACCCCCTGCCACAGGCAGAGCCACCAACCTCCAGATCTGGTGCTGAGCCAGGTTTCCCAGGACCCCATCCAACCCGATCTTGAACACCTCCAAGCTCTTTGTGAGGGAGGGTATGTCAGTGAAATCCCAGTTAAGCACTCATGTTAATACATCCAGCCTTGTGTTTACAATGAGCAAAGTGCTCGTACACCACAGGTCAGGTAGCACTCATAAAACCTCGTTGAGCTGATTGAACATCTGAGATCTCATTTCAAAAGCATAAATCAATCCGTCATGCTGCATAAGCTTTAAGATATTCCTGAGGAATAACACTCCTGCAGCCTTTTTTGTTTTACCTGTACTCACTGCGGATATTTCTCTTATCTCCTCAGTGACTACAAAACCTGGTGGTGTATCAAACCTTTGAAATATCCTCTGGGCTTTTCCCTTTGGAGGCCATTTCACAGCTGGGCTTGAACTCACCAGTGAGAAACCTTAAAGCCCCAAATGTTCTCAATTAGAATTTCCTTGTCAGCCTCTGCTTAGCATCTGTTTCTACATTCACACATAAGCAGGCAAGCCTCTGTTCCACAGGAGGAGTGTTGACTTTCAGTGATCCAAATGTCTTGGGAAAAGGCATTATCAGGTTCACAAAAGTTTGAGGTCTCATTTAAGGTAAGGGGGAAGTGTTTTTCTATGGTCATTCTGCAAATGTTGTTTTCTGGATTTCAGCAGTTCCAGAAAAGCTTGGCTAAGTCTTCTTTGCACAGAGAACAGCCCACGGGCAACAACAGTAGGGCAGTGCTATCTGAATTGCATCAGCTCCCTCCTTCCTGAAGTTAAAATCAGAGCCAGCATCACAAAGCAGAGCAGAAGCACCACAAGCAGCAGGGACTCTATCCCAGAGTGACAAAGGGGCTATTGGGGCTATCAACAATGTGACAACAGCTCCAGCAGACTGATGGAAAGGAGATGGAAACACCCTCGTTTTCCCACCTCAGGTCACAGGAGAGGAGAAGAACCCTTGTTTCAAGTCACGTCCCACATTTCGTCGTCACGGATCTCATTTTTTTGTGCTGCAGAAGAGAAGCAGGTTGCCCTGCCTGAAGCAGCAGTTTCACATGGCA